TAGCGTCACCGCAATGAAGCCTATTTCACTGAATACCATTCCGCAGCGAGCGTCGCCGATTTGGTCGAGACTCGAGAACACTCCTATTCCGCCGTCGTAGTCCGACAACCTCAAGATCCAGCATGATCTTCGAGATACAAAACAACCCCGACGATGATAAGCTGCTGCTCTTCATCATACAATTACACCCCAACTCCAATATCTTGCTATCGATCTCGGTCCTTGGGAGACTGGCCAAAGAGAAGGAAGGTAGGTTGATGAACTCCGCAGGGGCGACGTGGGTACCATACCTATTTCTATGTTGTCCATGGCAGTTCAAGCCACAACCTCACTTGTATATATGTTGTTTCCTCTTCCTATATTTATTGATTTATATGTTGTTGTGTATATCTCCTGTTTCTATGTTTATCGATTTATATGTTGTTGTGTATGCGGTGAGGTTTATGTTAAAAAATGATGAAAAATCGTTAATAATGTTATCGTAAAGTATTTATAAGTATATTGAAATCGTTAACAATAATGTTACATATCAATAAAAAAAATATTTGATAAATGCGTAGAACGACAATGTGAATCGATAACAATTGATAATTTTTTTTAATAATGTCACTGGAAGTCATGGTAAGAAGCCATGATTGACTAGTTATGAATACTACTTGAAAACGTAAATCGTTAATAAAGATGTTGTAAATCAATGATAATATTACTAAAATCATTAATAACAATTTGACATAACTTTAATAATTCCTTCCTAAGTGTTGATGAAGAAAATGTAAAAAGTTAAAAATTGATCGTAAATCTTTGCTAACAGTTGAAGCCAATCATTGTTAACCTTTTTGTTTTGGTTTGAACCAAATATGATATTTTTTAACATTTTAAATGGTATTTGACACTTAAAATTGAATATGGAATTTATTAATGATTTTGTGTTGGTTTCCAATGAAATTCAATTTTCTGATCAATGACCTTTTTTTTTTGCATAAGGGGGAGGCCGCAGCCGAGCAAGAGAAGAAAGAGTTACATAGTGGAATTAGAGGTGGAAGGCCGAACAGCAACGTGGCGTTCGAAGGTGGTGCCTCGGAAGTCATCTCGAAGAAGGGCCTCTAGACCGGGGGGTGGGCTAGCAAGCTCATGCATACCGTAGGGATAGACGAGACTGTGCTTCGAGAGCCAGTCCGCGACTCTATTCCCTTCCCGGTATACATGAGTAATGTTAACCAACCAATCCCGGCCTAGTTTCATGCAGATGCTAGACAGAAGAGTAGCGTACGGGTGGAGAGGGTCATCTCTGTTCTAAATGAGCTTCACTGCCAACTGCGAGTCTGATTCAACTTTGACTGCTCTGTATCCAAGTCTCCAAGCCAAATCTAGTCCATGATTGATTCCCCAAATCTCAGCAAGGGCCGCCATGGCCACTCCAATATTTGCCACAAAACCGCCCACCCACATACCAGTGGAGCCTCTGATAACTCCTCCAGCACCAGCCGGGCCCGGATTCCCATTAGAAGCCCCATCCACATTCAAAGTTACCCAACCTTTCAGCGGGGGGGACCAGCCTATGTTCTCCCATTGCCGAGCTGCAGGGCGCGCACGGCTGTCCAGAAACAGAGTAGGCGCGTGCCAGGAGTCGTGCCACATCTTCGCCTTGGTCATGATGGAGTGCTCGAGGGTAGGAGCAGAGAGGGAAGCTGTCTTGCCTCGAAGAGCAGCCGTACACCTGTTCTTCCAGAGAAGCCAGGCAGCCATGCTGAAGAAGGCCGGCCACCTAATGTCAGACGCCATCATTTCTTCTTCTAGCAGGTTCTTACGGAGCCAGTCTTCCTGCGGGTCGCTGAAGAAGGTGTGCTAGCGCTGGATAGGGACATGGTAGGACCAGAAGAAGAGGGCTGGAGGGAAATCCCTGAGGATGTGAAGGATCGACTCCGGTTGGTTGGTGCATTGGTCGCAGCAAGGGCTCGACGCTATCTTCCTGCTGTAACGGAGAACATTGGTAACAATCTTCCCCAAAAGCGTCTGCCACATGAAAGTTCTGATCCGCTCCGGCACTGGAAGGCGCCAAATGGTCTTCCAGATCTTCTCGCTCGTGTCCGGAGGTCTTTGGGTGAGCAAAGCGAAAGCCGATTTGGTGGAGAAGCGGCCATATGCAGTCACCGACCAGAACAGTCGGTCCTCCTCCTGAGAGAGCTTGTCAACGGCAATACTCAGGATTTTTGGGTGGATCTCGCTCGGAAGGAGGTTGCTGAAGAGCTCGGTACACCAGCTCCCGTCATCACCAGTGAAATCCGTGACCGCCGCCTCCTCCAGCTCTGGAGGAATATCGCCAGTGACCATCTCCTTCAAAGGAACCTGTAAAACCCACGGATCAAGCCAAAACTTAGTTCCTTTACCATTCTTAACATTCCACGCACATCCTTTATTAAGGATGTAAGAAGCTTTGGTCAAGCTGGCCCAGGTAAAAGAACTTCCCTTTACTGGTTTGATCAAATTGAGTCCTTGCCTCTGTCTGCCGTACTTCGCTTGCATCACCCGAGTCCACAAAGTATCTTTCTCCTGAATCATGCGCCATCCGCTCTTGGCTAACATGGCAATGTTGGCTTGCCTGGTCTGCCTAATGCCCACTCCACCTTGGCATTTAGGAGAAGTCATCTTGTCCCAAGCCACCAGGTGCATCTTGCTCTTCTCCGGTTCGTCCCCCCAAATGAAGTCCCTGTTTAACTTGTCAATGCTTTTGCAGATATTGCTAGGGATCAACTCAGTCTGCATGCTGTAAACAGGTAAGGACACAGCAACAGAATTGGTTAGGGTGAGTCTAGCAGTAAAGGAGAGGCGTTTTGCCTTCCAGGGAGCCATCCTCTTCTGGATTCGGAGGATGAGAGATTGGTATCTGTCTCTGGTCACACGCCCCTGAATGGCCTGAATGCCGAGGTAACGCCCCAAGGCCGTTTTAAGAGGAACTCCCACCTGGTGGCTAAGTCTCGAAGCCCTCTATCGATGAATGTTTGGGGAGACATAGAGAATCGACTTGTCGTAGTTGACCTTTTGCCCAGAGCTGTAGCAAAAGTCATCTAAGCATTGTTTCACGATCTGGAACTGCCTAGACTCCGGCTCTGCAAATAGGAGAAGATCATCTGCAATGAAAGATGAGTTAGAGGTGGACCATTTGCAGAAAGCTTAATCGCTTTCCACTGTCCACTATTAACTGCTTCTTCAATCCTATGCGATAAACGCTCCATACAAAGAACAAAGAGATAGGGTGAAAGAGGGTCTCCCTGACGGACACCGCGGGACGGGGAGATCGGCTGAGAGAGCTCGCCATTCCAGAGGACTCTCATCCTGTTCTGTTCCACACAGGTCATAACACAGTTGATCCAGGAACTGGGAAGGCCTACTTCCTTCAGAGTGTCCCTAAGGAAGTCCCATCTCAGTCTATCATAAGCTTTCTCCAAATCAATCTTGAAAATCATTCCTCCTTTCTTGCCCCTCTTCCTCTCCAGGGTGTGGAGGACCTCCTGAACTACGATGATATTGTCTGTAGTCTGCCTTCTCGGAATGAAGCTGCTTTGCCTGGGAGACACCAGCTTCTTCATGAGGGGCTTCAGTCTGCTGGTCATGGCTTTAGTGATAGCTTTGAGGCTGACATTATTGAGCGAAATGGGGCGGAGCTGGGTGACCCTCTCAGGAGTATCCACCTTCGGGATCATCACAAGGGTGGAGTCCGAAATGCTATCCGGAAGAGAGCCTGTCGCAAAGAAAGATAAAGCCATATCCGCTAACTTATTTCCCACAATTGCCCACATCTGCTGGTAGAAAACCGCATGAAAGCCGTCCGGCCCAGGAGCTTGAAAAGGCTTCATCTCAAAAATCGATTTATGGATGACCTGCATAGAAAACGGGCTCAAGGATCCAAGGGAGGTCAAACCACTCGCTTTGCTGGATGAGGTTATCCCAAAGTAGACGCTGCTCACTAGTGCGGGGGGACGCATACACTGCGGTTAAGACCCAAGGCTGCTTGGCAGCTTCCTCAATCCGCAGAGAAATGTGTTGGTCGCAAGCAGAGATGAGCTGGGCCGAGAATCTCTTGGCGTCCCAAAACACCCAAATACCCCCGCTTCTCCCATTCGCTTCTACTCGGATGGAATTCGGATAACCCAGTCTATCACACGTAGCATTCGCGGCCGTGCCGCTGATCTGAGGCTCCAAGAGAATAACAAAGTCAGGGCGGTAGGACTGGATGACGAGCTTCAGCGACCGGATGAACGTTCTGCTTCCAGCTCCTCCTACATTCCAGGCAAAAATGCTTAAATTAGAACTAATATACAAGGCCATAATACCAAAAACGAGAAGAAAGGGAGGGAGAGGGGAGGAGAAAAGCAGAGGAGAAGGTCTCATTTGGATAGTGGTGTCGGGCTCGGCCAGTCTTGCCTCGGTCATAATTCCTTCCGTCTGCGAACTGGGACTTCCTCCTAAGAGCTTGTCCGGCGCCTCCTTAGCAGCATTTTTCCAGGCATTGATCTCCTGTAAGGTGAGGGTCGCGATTCTGGCTCTCGATTTGGTTTTGCAATCTTTCTTCGGTGTCCAGATTTGCAATCCTCTCATCGGACTAAGTTTGGTCGGGGTTCTCCGGAGCTCCGTCTTCCGAGGCTTGTTTTGCTTAGTCCTGGCCTTCGCTGACGGAGTCTGGGCGGATTTGGCTTCCTTGTCTTCTTCCTGTTTGGGTTGAAGACTGACAATTTGCATAATTGTTCCATTTACGCCAGTCACCGTTTGGACGGCAGGAGGCGTCGATTGGCTCTTCACGATCCCAGCGGCCAAATCATTCACTGGGGGTGTTGTTTTCGGCAGAGGCGTGGCCTGGTCTTTGGGTTTCGAATAGGAAGTGGGCTTGGGCGTGCTTTTGGTCGAAGTCGAGGCTTGGGCCTGGTCGGCCTTGGGCTTTTGCCCATTACCAAGAGTCGGGCCAGCATCCGGAATAGGGCCCAAGAGACCTTTTCCTCCAACCCTTACCGCAGTTGAAGCTGGTTCTTTTCCTTTTTTTCCCCTGTGTGTTTCTTTCTCGTTCCGCCTTTCTTGTCTTGATTGGATGCTCGTTGGGGTGAGTGTGGGGTGATCGGCGGGGATATCGGGGCTGCCCTTCCACCTTCCTTCTGCAAAACCTCTTGCTTTCCTTGTTTCGTTGACATATTACCGTTGGCGTTTCTCGAGAAGGATTCAAGTTTCCCTTTCTGTGATGGATCCCGCGAATTCCGCCTGCTCTTGCGGGAAAGGAGCATCCAGGGCCCAAATCCCGGAGTCGATTCCTCCCCTCCTTGTTCTGCCTCGCTTGCCGGAGTCTCACTGCCGGTGATGGCTAATATCGGCGGAGGAGTTTGCAGCCGCAGCTTGGGACAGAGCAGGGAGGAGTGCCCAATTTTCCCACATTCGAAGCACACATCGGGGAGATTTTCATATTCGACTTTCTGCCAGGCATCGTCCAACCAAATCCGAGGTACCAGGGGCTTGGACAGATCTACTTCAACAGCTATCCTAGCAAATTTCGCTCGTTGTAGAGTCAGAGTATGGAAATCCAAACAGATCGTTCTTCCGAGGAGATTGCCGAGGGAGGTCAGGATTTCTTTGTGATAGAAGTGAATTTTCAGAGCCGGAAATTGAACCCAGACAATCATCTTTCTCGGGAGTGGATCAGAAACCTTGAAGCTCGAAGACCATTGCTGCACTGCCAAGTAGTGGTCAAAAATTGTCCATGGACCGTCTGTAAGAGCTCTGAAGTAGTCCTGTTCATTACTGAGTTTCACTAGAAAACAGTCCTGGTCAAGGTCCATGATCTCCATAGCCCCTGTTGGTCTCCAGAGCCCACGGAGTCGAGAGCAGAGACTATTGAATCCAATAGTAGTGCCAAGAAGTCTAACCACAATCTTTCGGTGCCAAAGGGCACAGATCTTGTCTTTGAAGGTCGAGGAAATATTGGGAGTCTGCTCTCCGTTTCGGCTACCCGGTATCAGGTCATTTTCGCCCACCGGAGTCCATTGAGAAGCTTGATTTGAGAACGATACGTTGGGTTTCCACCCCCTCACCGCCGATGCATAGGAGAACTGTGCTGTCGGCCCGATCTGCGCCGGAGATTCATGAGCTTGCACAGTTTCCTTTTCCATGGCCGTGGCCGGGGGATCAGCATGTTCGAGGTCTCTAGGCAAAACCCCCGCTCCAGCGGAGGCATCGATGATCATATCAGTTGCTGTTGCTATGTGCGCGTTGCCGGTGTCCGCTGAAGAGAGGTGCGAGGTGAGGTCCGGCGGTCGATCAGATGGGAGGAGTGCCTGCGGCGGCGCTGCGGAGGGCGTTCCTTCCAGCGGAATTGAGAGCATTCTTTTTTCTTCTTCTGATCAATGACTTGCTCATTCGTTATTAAAAGTTTCCAATACCAGTATTAACGACTTGATGCCATTTTTTAATGTTGAAGGCTATCATTGTTAACGTTATTTGTTTTAGTTTTGAACGAAATACACCATTCATATGAATGTTTTGGATGATATTTTAATACTTAGTATTGAGTTCGAACATTATAAATGTTTTGTGCTTGTTTTCAACAAAATACAATTTTGTTTCTAATGATTTCTTATATTGTCATTTAGGGGTGTTCAAACGGTGTGGTTACCATGGTAACCGTTTTAACCAGTACTATTTGGATATTTTGGTTTGGTTAATTTGGATAATTGGTTTGGTTTGGTTTGGTTAAAGTTTCGGGTGTGCCTACGGTGACATGCATGTCACGGTGACTTGCACTTTCCGGTCGACCTCAGTTAGGATTAGGTCGACCTTATTTAGAATTCGGTCTACCTCATATAGGATCTGGTCGACCTCATATAGGATCAGGTCGACCTAATATGTTGTTTCAGTGTAAAAAAAGTTCATGGTGCCTACTTTGGATATTCATATTATGGCTAGATGGAAATTGAAGACTAATTACTTGTTTTGAAGCTGGAGTGTCCCTCTACATATTGAAGTGATTGAGAGCTCGATAGAAAGTCCAGAAGACCATTTTTGAACCTCATCAAAAGGCTATGCCAAAACTAGGAAACTGCCTGTAAATGGCTAAGTCTGGAAACATGTTTGTGAAGCCTATTTTGGAGCTCAATTCAAGAAGCATTAATGCGAGTCGAGTCTAGGAGCCTCTATCACGTTAAATTAGGTATGTTTTTATACAAATTCAAGGCATTGGATGAAAGATTGGATATTTGTAAGGCTTCAAACAAAAGGGTCGAAGTTGCTACGAAAGTTGTTTTTCTGGCAGACTTCGAGCACAAGCAAGCTGCCAGAAAAACAGCCTTCGTAGCAATTTCGAGCCTTTTGTTTGAAGCCTTAAAGATATTCAATCTTTCATCCAATGACTTGACTTTGTATAAAAAAACGTAATTTAACGTGGTAGAGGCCCCTGGACTTGACTCGCATCCATGCTTCTCAAATTGAGCTCCAAAGTAGGCTTGACAAACACGTTGCCAGACTTAGCCATTTTCAGGCAGTTTCCCAGTTTTGGCATAGCCTTTTGGTCAGGTTCAAAAATGATCTTCTGGACTTTCTATTAAGCTCCCAAGTACTTTAATGTGTAGAGGGACACTTCAGCTTCAAAACAAGCCTTTAATCTCCAATTTCCATCTAGCCAATTGTAAGATATGAATCTCCAAAGTAAGCACCATGAAACTGTTTTTACACTGAAACAACAGATGAGGTCGACCTGATCCTATATGAGGTCGACTCGACCGAAAAGTGCATGTCATCGTGACATGCATGTCACCGTAGCAAAGTCCTAAAGTTTTTAGCTTGTTTGGTTTAGGTGGTTTCATTTCAGACACTCCTAACCAGCCAAACCAAATTAACCAGATAAATAATTAGCCATATATCTAATATATACACCTACTTAATACTGTGAATAACCACTCAAGAGTTAAACGTTCATCCTTTTAGACTCATAAAATATAAAGCTTGATATTGTTCCTATTATGTATATTTGTATATGTAGAGTGTAAACCACAACATATGAACACCTAATTTAGATAAACCTCACACATTATGTTGGATGAAAACTTGAAAGCAATGTCCTTTTCAGCCTATGGAAATTGCTAAAAGACTAAGTCAATTCAAACAAACACAACAATTCATTAATCCATACCAGTGTGATAATTTTTTGTTAGGTGAATACTTCTATACTAACCATAAGATAATTCTCTTAGTTGCATGTATTTATTTTAAGGGTCAACTGTAACTATGTGTTGATTGTTATGTTTTATTCATTATATAAATTGTGAATTGATAAATTAACCAAAAAATTTCTCACTTAATGATCATATGATTTTATATTGGTTAATCTGGTTAACCAATTAACCAAACCGATTAAACTTTAGTTTGGTTAATTTGGTTGTTGTATTAGTTTGGACGGTTTGGTTATGATATTGTATTCCATGGTTAATGAAATTTACCCTTATTTGGTTCGGTAATAACCATGGTAACCATTTGAACACCCCTAGTGACATTAACGGTTTGTTGTTGGGTGTGAATGTTAGTTTGCTTGACCAATGTTTTGCACCTCCATAAAATAATGTTTGATAATTTTTTCAAAGTACAGGGGCATGTTTGCTATAAAAAATAGTAGAGGGGCATGTTTGATAAAACGTCATAGTAGAGGGGCATTTAAGCCATGAGCATTTCCATGAAACATCCACACTCGTCCTCCAACCCAATGTAGTCAAAAGCACGATTCTACCTAGAAGCGGAAAAGGGGTAAAATCGTAAAACATAGAATTAAAGCATAAAAATGTAAGTTTTTTACGCATGCTATAAAATAACTAAAAATCTGTTAAGTACGACATATATTATGTAAATATGAGTGCATAGAATTTAGAAAAGTTAATAAGTACCTGCAATTCATGCCTAAAGTAGAGCAACTTATAGCTTCTTAATAATAAGTTCATAAACATAAATCTTAACAATAAACCACATTCCCCTCCATGCTAATGAAATTTGGGAAGAGCTTAGTTGGTGAATTAGATTACTCTATTGAAGCTGAGAATACATTCATGTACCAGGTATGTATCTTTTAATCTCATATGTATCATATTGTTGGTAATTTACCATTAAAATATATGTAACACCCAAAAATATAACACCCTAACCCGGCCGGGTACTACTTTTACTAAAATTCCCTTGATAGATAAAATACTCAAATCCTAAATTGCAACTGGGAAAAATTTTCATAAATAAATTTCTGAAAACCACTCTTGTAGTTCAAAGCAACGCCCTAACACGTGGGCAACTTAACTCAAACTTTAAAAACTCAACTTGATCTCCAGCCTATACTCATAATCATAAAACATAATAACTAACTAGTCTCAAGTGTTGCTGCTTGTGTGAAAAACTCTGACTAGACATCCTCTGTGACGCTCGGATCGTCCTCCTCTAGCTAGCTTCACTCGAACTGTTTCTCTCGATCCCGCTGCTCTCTAACTGCTCCTCTAGCTTCTTCCTCTTCAAACTGGTGAGTGAGTTGGGGTCAGTCTACGCCCTTATGTTTTAAAAATCTAGTACTTGAGTACTTTACTTAAACACTTAACTTTAACTGGTGGAAGTTGTTTGTACTTCCAATCTTAAAATCTTAACTCTTAAACTTTGAGGGAGTTGAAGTTACTCTCCTCTCTTAAAGCTCAAATCCTTACTTAAACTTTTGACTGCCACAGGGATCCCTCACTAGCTAGTCCGGTTGCCAACTCATACGTATGAGAAGCCATCCTGGCTTTCCTTAAACTTAAACTTAGTTAGGGGAGTCGTAACGATTCATCCCCCTAACATCTTAAACTTATCGTGGTGGCTCTTCACCACGATTCTCAAGAGCATAACTGCTGCTCATCGTAAAAGTCTCAAGAGCATTACTGCTGCTCTATCTCAAAAGGCAGCGGACTGGCGCTAGTGACTAAAAACACTTAAAACGACTTCACCTTCTTGAAGGTGAGTTACTTCTTAAAAAGAACTTGTTTCTTAAACTTTAACCATAGCTCAAACATAACGCTTTAAGGTAAATAGCACAAAATCACCTCAAATAGCATAAAATCACCTCAAATCATAGCTCAAGCAATGCACAATTAAGCAACCATAAACATAACCGAGCAACGGTAACCAATTTGCTAAAATACTCAAAATCACAATACTTAAAAGAATACGTAAGGCGTAGAATTTACCCCCTTTACACTCACCATATTAATCAGTCGATAAACCTCAATTTATCGTTATGGTGGATCGCCCCTGATGCCAAGCTTTCATGCGAGCATGCTAACCCCAATCACAAGATGACAATGGACTTGGTCCATTTAATTCCCCTCCCAATGTGTCAAAGTTCCTCTCCTGATCAATTTATTGCCTGCTTTATGTTCCGGTGAACGTCCCTTATGTATATACGATTGGAAATGTATATGAATAGCTTTGAGAGCTATAGAGTCTCAAGTGGAAAAACTACCACATTCGTAGTTTTACTTGGTGAAATGTGTATAAAGATAGGAGCCTCTCTCCTAAGGGCATGCCCCTTGGGGTGACCCACTTTTGTGGGAGAGGGAGGACCTAACGGACCACCACACACGCGCGCGCACCGTCCGTCCGTCCGACCGACCGGTTGGTTGGTTCACTTGAGACTATATACATATTTTTTGGAGAAATTCCGAACGAAATTAATTATCTAATAATTAATTATTAATCGGTTATTCTGAGGAATATTCTAGGGATAATCGATTGAAAATGAATATTCGAAGGATAATCCACGCAGGATTTATCCTAACCGACGGTAATTAAG